CCTTCAAATAAAATCATTTTTATTTTACATTTACATATGAAATTAGAGAGAAACTTTATCAAGAACTAACTTCTGTCTAACGGGCAGTGTAGGCAACCTGCTCTCTTGACTTTCCTAACCGTAAGGCCTCGCCGGTAGCGCTAATGCACTAAAAACTGCTTAAATCTGCATTAGCTGCAGCAATGCGCGTAATAATGCGTTACCGTTTATGCGCATTTTAATGCGCATAACCAGATGCGGTGCTACCGGGGCACACCTGAACGGAGGGTTAATTCGATACCTTAGACTAAAATGCAATTCATCCGCGCGTTTCGAAAGGCACACAGTTCAGCTGCTCGTTTCGAAAGACACGCAGTTCCTATCTCTCACGCAAAAAAGCCTGTTCGCTAAAATAGCAAACTTCAGGTATTTGCGTTTTTCTGTTGTAGCAAACATATCCTTTTGCCATTTCTTCTTAACGTTTATCTGTGACCATAGCAGAGGAAATAGTTTTTTTCGTTGTTTGCTGAAACAGCAAGATCTTTTGCTAAAACAAAAATATGTTTGCTGCAACAGCAAAACGCAAGTACCTGAAGTTTGCTATTTTATCGAACAGGCTTTTTTGCGTGAGAGATAGGAACTGCGTGTCTTTTGAAACGAGCGGCTGGACTGCGTGCTTTGGGAAACGGGCGGATGAATTGCGTGCCTTTTAGTCTAAGGTATGGAATTGTGAGTTTTTGAAAAATAAAATGCGCGCACAACCCTACTGCTTTTTTAGGGAAAATTCTTTTGGCAATGCCATATTCATACCTCATATTCCGCGAAGCCCCACATCAATTTTCGGAAATTAGTTGTACACATCCAGACCCAAGGGCTGATAGCACAAGGCAACAAAGCCTGGATAGCTTCCGAAGAGAACAGCCTTGAATCCCAATTGGTGCTCGGATTAAGAACACGTCCTAACTTTTGCACACAAAAGAACACACAGAAGATGTTGAGATTACGAAAGAGAGTTAGGTAGATAGACGCAAGTTTCTCTGAATAGGCTCGTTTTCATAATGTACCTGTTCATTCAAGACGAAGGCGTAAGAGGCGCAGAATGTGGAAGACAACAGCACAGCATACACCAGGCTGGATCGACGCACGGACAGAAGCGGCTTATCTGATAGTTGAATGGAGTTATTTACAGCATGCTGGTTGCTTGAAGCAGTCGTGAGTGAAGAATCCCTCGAAAACTTACACAGACAATTGAAAGACACGGGCACTAGGCCGATGCAAGCCATTCCCAGCATAATCACCCCCAGGGGACTTGTACGAACGAATGGCTCGAGTGAATCCTTCAGTCATAGAATCAGAGACGAGCGCAAGATTCTCATAACTTAACTTGCCCTTTCAAGGTGCAGCATGTATTTGAAGTTTCCCTTACCGTCCTTGTATCCTCTCCATCCTGCTGCTTTTGACGGCCGTTTGTTTTGGATTTACTGTCAACTGATTTTGAGGCCTTTCCGGTTTTACCAGCAAGATAGACATCCTGACTTGCGTCTCTTAAGCGAATAACGCGGCCAGACAACGCGTCCACTGCCCAGCGCCCGCCAAAACTGCAGGGTGTTCAGTCTGAGTTAAGTAAGGCACTGCTGTAACTGAATAATTTAAAGCTCTGGACTGCAGAACCAACTAACTACAAAATTCTTTAGCGTGAGTAACAAAAACTTTCACTTTTAGGGAACAAAATTGTCCCAGTTCATGTGTACAGTATACAGAATCGGTGCAGTGCGGTGCGTGCCCGCGGGCCTCGACACAACAGTGTTTGCGGGTTTGTATACCCGAGGGGCGGGCCAATATGGCGCCTTACGGGAACAGACGGTAGGCAAACCCGCCTAGGGCTGTGTCTTAGCCCTGACACACGTTATATAGGGCGCCATTCAAAACCTCAGAACATGGCCAACTTCAACGACGATCACAAAAAATTAAAAAAAAAATGGAATACTTACACGTCCGGGTGGTTCATTTCCGTCGGCAGGGCTCTGGCCGTGGTCGCGTCACCGCGGTACTTCATGAAAGGTGAAGAAGTCAAGCGCTATCGATTCTGTCCAGGTGGCGCCTGGGCCGCAATCTAGGAGAGTGAAACTCCTCACACCAAATAAGTTGTACATAAATGGACATTACATTGACATTCAACGCTTGGTCGCCGCGCTGCATGCGCAGACAGCCGTTACCATCACCGAGTGTCGATGCGCTTCCATACGGTCCTGATATCACGCAGGGCCTTCGACAACGTTGGAGAACGCCTGGCTGCACAAGTGCACCATCGCGGTGAGTACGCTACACGGTGGGATGCACTTCCGGTTGCCCCAGTGTCGCCTCAACGTGGTGCTTTGCGCAGCGCTCCTGGCGTCAGCACCTAGTCCTAGTGGCCTACCAGAAGACCAACAAGGGCATCACCGTGTCCTCTCGCCCGCCTCTTCGACGGCACCTTGCCCAGTGCCGCGTAGTACTGCGACGGCAAGCACTACTGGGCCTGGCTGTTCTGGGGCACCCACGACGAGATCGCTCTCATCAACAACTACATCAGCACCGCTAAGAGTGTACCCCCCACGCCGGCGGCAAGTCCCAGGTGAGGACGGATCGGGGAGCGCAACGGAGCGCCTGTGGAGAGCGGGGTAGGCCACCGCGCAACGCACCACTGCGTCGTGTGGACACCTACCCCGCCGGCCGCAGGCGCCGTCTTAAGCTAAGCTCGAACAACCTCACCAACCGGCTCTGTGTTCAGAACTACGTCCACCTTGTCGGCAACGCCATGGACAACAACAGCCACGGAGAAATCGAGCCCAGGAACGGCTCTTACTTACATTCTCAGCGAGCAAGGTATGGGCTGCCGCCTTCACCAACGACCAACGTAAGCAAAACTTTATACAATTTCAGTACCTAAATAATTTTTCACTTTTTGTTGTTACAGCCCATCAACGCAAACAAGTTTTTTTGTTTATTGTTGTTGTTGCTGCTGTTGTGGAATTTTGCTGGGAATTTTTGCGAATAATAATCTTGTGTTTTACCCCGTGGGGCCACCGGACCGCGAGGTGCTCGCCACGTATCTCAGCGAGCACATGAACCTGGCGCAGGAAAAGCTGGAGGGCAGGGTGACCATGGCGGGCGGGCGCACCGCTTCTCGGGCATCAGCAACAGCGTCAAGCACTAGCTCTGCCTCCCTCGTGCGACACGAGAACGCCTAGCTGAAAATGATATGCCAAAGAAACTGTGTGTCCGTTTATGTTGATGGGTAGTTTCAGCAAGTACGTCACGCCGTCGCGTGTCCAGTTAAAACCGCTGAGTTTTTTTGTTGTTTTTTTTTTGGGGGGGGGGTGAGGCTAATAAGCGGGGACATTTCCTGGAATTGCCCCCTAATAACGGCCCACATATACAAATGTAATTGTAATTAATATTATTATAATAGTACTAAAATTAATAAAGGCAACAATAACAATACGTCTACGTGTTGTTCTGCTTCAAGCCCCCTGTTTATGCGTCGATGTTCAAAGTGCACCAAGTAGCCTATGGTCTCTTGGCCTTGGCCCCTTCAATGGCATTTGCGGCGAGTAATAAAGTAAAGCTATATTAATAAGGGGCCATCCATTAAGTACGTCCGCGGTTTTTGACCCCAAATTGACCCCCCCCTCCCCCTTGTCCATGCACGTCCGTTTTCGATGACCCCCCCCCCCCTCTTTGGACGTCCATTTTGACCAAAGTACTCCTAAAATTAATAAATTTGTTCGTTTTGGTATTTTAAGGCGTTCAGATGTTTTCTAATTAATTTATCAAGTTTAGAGTGTCAAACAATTTATTTAAAAATTAAAACAAGTCACTTTGTTCAAATTTAAAAAAAAAATTAAATAAAACAACAAAACGAATGATTTTAATCCCTGCGGACGTGGGGTAGTGTCGAAACCCAGCTCACAGTATTCCCATTTTCCCCGTATCCTATGTAGACAGCGGACGTCCGGACAGCCGTTGCCCCCCCCCCCCCCCCAGGTCCATCGATATCCCTTTTTGAGAGACCCCCCCCTCCCCATCGAGCTCGGACGTACTTAATGGATGGCCCCTAAGCGGATGATCAATTTGAAAAAAAATGCCCATTCGTTCATAAGTATGAGAGGTATGGCAATAAGTGAAAAATACGCCGCCACGAAAGTCCACGTTAAGCCGCGCCTTAGACGCTCACACCGAAATAAATTTTTACACTGCACTGGCTGTGCTTGTTCTTCTTAGGGATCGCCTTCGTCAAGAAAGTACGTCCGTTTCTCAAATTCATTCGATCGTTCGGCAAAACTGACGAGAGCTCGGCGCCTGCGAGGCTCAGGGTAGGCCAGCCCGCAGTACACGCATGCACAACAAGGCAGTGTGTTGCCTACCCATCAGGCGCTAAGAGACCTTGTTAAGCTTGCTCTGATCTTGGCAATTTTGGGGTGTATTAAGATTGTCTGACCTATTTTTGTAAATGACCTGAAGTACCACCCTTGTAACGGTAAAGGCTCATTTGCACTTGTTTTGGTCGTTATTTTAGAACTGTTTCCGGTGCTGAGTTCCTTAATTCTTCCTGTAAATGGGACCGTCCTTAACCGTTTATTAGCTCGCCAGGGGGTGTGGGTCGCACGGGCACCAACGTCAGGCACGGATTAAGGGGGGGGGATCGCAGGCGAGAAGGATAAAAGTAAAATCCACAACCACGGCATTAAGAACACTGATAAACTAAGTGTCCAACTGCTCAACACTTCTAAGTGTGCAACTGTAAGTTAAATTCTTGCAAGTGTGCAACTGCAAGTTGAATACTTGCAAGTGTGCAACTCAGCAGGTGTGCACTTGCAAGTGTGCAACTCTTCGGTTGAACACTTCCTACACAGTAAGCATCCAATCTAAGGAAGTGTGCAACCGAGGAGTTGCACACTTGCAAGTGCACATCTACCGAGTTTAACACTTGCAAGTGTACGACTACGGAGTTGCACACTTGCGAGTATTCAACTTGCAGTTGCACACTTACAGGTGTTGAGCAGTTGAACACTTAATTTATCAGTGAAGAAGGATGAGACGTGTCCGAGCGAAACTGCATCATGATGACGAGATACGTGACTGATAGGGAGACGATCTGTGTGGGACACGAAGGGCGCGACCAGTAAGTTCCCGCTGAAATTGTATTGCATGAGGAGAAGGACTGACGTTTCCGCCAGCTGAAACCTAAATACTCACGGAGCCGAAGAGAGGTCGGTCGATGCTGGTGAACCCGCTCAGCGACAAGCGAGCCGGCCGGGAAATCACGGACTTGTAGAAGAGCGTCACCTGCGACGGCAGTCGAAGTAAGCACCCGCCTAGTTTGAGTTCAAAGTACAAAGCAGTCAAGTTTTTGAGCCATAATACGACTTACCGCTCGGAAGAAAGCCTGGTCATGCGCGTCCATCGACAGCTTGTCCAGGGCAGACACCACAGGGCCGTGCATCTGTCGCATGCATAAGAGAACAATATATTGGAAAATCAAATGCGAGCACTGTAAAAAGCTTACGAACTAAATACTTTGCAACGTTACGAACAATTTTCGTTCTTTGTACTGCAAAGAAATTGTTCGTATCGCAAAGCGATTGTGTGTAATGCTAGACAGGGTCTTACGAACAATCGGTTTGCTTTGCGAACTATTTGTTCGTAAGCTTACGAACAATTAGTTCGTAATTCAACGCTCCAAAAACCTTTGTAAGCTACGAACTTTTTGGTTTTCATTACGAACCTATATACACTGTAAAAAATAATCACGGTCGCCCATACGGAAATATGCCGTTTACTTAACCTACGGCGTCTCCGTACCTTGGGTTTCGTACCCTCTTCCCATAAGAGCCCATGTAAAAAAAACGTGGGTACGGAAAGGTACGTAAAAAGTCCTGTTAATTTTGATCCGGAAGTCTTCGTCTTGAGTACGGAGTCTGTTACGGCGTTCCGTACCCTCTTCCCTATGCTAGCCCATGTAAAAATTGTTGGTACGATGGCCACACGTACGGCAAATCTCTGAACCGCTCTCGGAAATCACTCCCAAAAGTGGGGTACGGAACGCCGTGACAGGCCCCGTCTCCAAGACTGATTTTTTTACAGTGTAGTTCGTAAGAAATTTACAGTGAGTGGTTGTGGGTCTCGTAACGTACCGCAGTCACCGCCTCGTGCGCCCTATTGCTCACTTGGAACAGCCCGAATGCCAGCAAAAGCATCCACATGACTTGCGAGGCACCCGCCTCCAACACCCCAAGAGACCTAAGAGGGGCGAACAAACAAGAAAAACGACATCGAAACCATTTGCAGGAGTACAGGCTGAAGGAAGTACACTCACAGTAGCGCGAAGCACAAGTAGACGGAGAACAGCATCAAGAGAAAGACGTGCGTCAGGTAGAACACGTCCAGGAGGTACAAGCTGGGGTGGTCGTTGTAGAGCGCGCGCAGACCGACCCAGAGCTTTTGGGCACGGCGCACCCCCTCAGTGTCGCCCGGGCGCATCTGGGTCAGGTGGTGCCAAAACGCTTAGGGTGAGGAGTCTTATAATGCATTCGGGAACCAAGCCACTGCTCCCCAAATCAAGCGCGATATGTACCCCACCCCACACACTAAATGGCGAGGGACAATTTTTGAAAGTAGGCTAGATGTGTCTTTGAGCACATCTCATCTAAACCAGATACAAATTCGTATCTTCGTCACATACAAAATACAGCATTTGTACCCAGCCAAGGTCCAATTATTTGTACTTCGATACAGACAAATTTGCCTCTGATATGAAGATGTGCTCAAAGACACATCTTAGCTAGGAACAAAATATTGTCCCTCCCCATTTAGAGTGCAGCAGTTCACTCACCTGGTTTAGGTGCTCGCTGAGAGCGGTGGCTGCCTCACGCAGCTGTAGGGAGTACGCGGTGTGGAACAGTAGGATCAAAAAAAACGATACAGTGGCTGAGTAGGCAGCGGGGAGGTAGTACCATGCATTTACAGACAGGTCCAAGTCATATGCGTTGAGATCGCCAGAGATAAACTTGGTCTGCTAGAAAAATGATTCCATGTACCATGAACCATCATGGGACTTTGCACATTTGTTAAAGAACTGCAAATGTAGATACTTTGCACGAACAACTTTCTAGCCAACCTCTTTTTTTTTTGAAGCAATCATTCCAACGATGATTAACAGGAGAGGGACCACGAATAAAACGAACACGAAACCGCGCAAGAATCGAACTCGGGAAGACCAGCGGTCCCGAAGATGTTGGTTAGTAACAGATAAGAAGGCTTCCTTCAAATAAAATCATTTTTATTTTAGATTTACATATGAAATTAGAGAGAAACTTTATCAAGAACTAACTTCTGTCTAACGGGCAGAGAAAGTATAGGCAACCTTCCCCCCTTGACTTTCCGAACCGTAAGGCCACCCCGGTACCGCTATAATCCACTTAAATCTGCTTAAATGTGCGTTATAGATGCAGTAATAATTCGTTACCTTTTATGCGCATTTTAATGCGCATTACCAGATGCGGCGCTACCGGGGCACATCAGACCAGAGGGTTAATTGTGTGTTTTTGAAAGAAAAAAAAGATGCGCGCACAACGCTACTGCTTAAGGAAAAATTATTTTAGCATGCCATATTCATACCTGATATTCCGCGAAGCCCCACATCACTTTTCGCAAATTAGTTGTACACATCCAGACCCAAGGGCTAATAGCAGAAGGCAACAAAGCTAGGAGAGCTTCCAAAGAGAACAGCCTTGAATCCCAATTGGTGCTCGGATTAAGAGAAGGTCCTAACTTTTGCACACAAAAGAACATGTTGGGATTACGAAAGAGAGTTAGATAGATGAACGCAAGTATCTCTGCATAGGCTCGTTTTCATAATGTACCTGATCTCTCCAGACGAAGGCGTAAGAGACGCAGAATATGGAATACAGCAGCACAGCATAAACCAGGCTGGATCGACGCACGGAGAAAAGCGGCTTATCTGTTAGTTGAATGGAGTTATTTAGAGCATGCTCGGTTGCTTGAAGCAGTGAGTGAAGAATCCCTCGAAAACTTACACAAACAATTGAAAGAAACGGGCACTAGGCCGATGCAAGCCATTCCCAGCATAATCACTCCCAGGGGACTTGTACGAACGAATGGCTCGAGGGAATCCTTCAGTGATAGAATCAGAAACGAGCAAGAGATTCTTATAACTTACAATAACTTGCCCTTTCAAGTTGCAGCATATGTATTTGAAGGTTCCCTTACCGTCCTTGCATCCTCTCCATCCTGCTGCTTTTGACGACCGTTTGTTTCGGGTTTTGTTTCAACTGATTTTGAGGCCTTTCCCGTTTTACCAGCAAGATAGACATCCTGACTTGCGTCTCTTAAGCGAATAACGCGGCCAGACAACGCGACCATTGCCCAGCGGCCGCCAAAACTGCAGGGTGTTCAGTTTAAGTTAAGTAAGGCACTGTTGTAACTGAAAAATTTAAAACTCTGGACTGCAGAACCAACTAACAACAAAATTCTTTAGCGTGAGTAACAAAAACTTTCACTTTTAGGGAACAAAATTGTCCCAGTTCATGTGTACAGTATACAGAATCGGTGCAGTGCG